GTTCGTGCGCGCGTGGGTGCGAGTGGGCGTGTGCGCGCGTGGGCGTGAGGACGTGTGGGGGTGCGCGTGTGTGTGTATATGTGTGTGGGTGTGGGTGTGTGCGTGCGCGCGCGTGCGCGTGTGCGCGTGTGCGTGTGTGCGTGTGCGCGTGTGCGTGCGTGTGTGTATGTGTGTGTGTGTGTTTGTGTGGGTGTGTGTGCGTGCGTGCGTGCGTGCGTGCGTGCGTGCGTCCGGAATGCGTGTGTGTGTGTGTGTGTGTGTTTCTGTGTGTGCGTGTGTGGTTGCGTGCGTGCGTGCGTGCGTGCGTGCGTGCGTGCGCGTGTGTGTGCGCGTGTGTGCGTGTTTGTCAGTGTTTGTTCGTATGTGTACGTGTCTGTGTTTGTGTCTGTGTCTGTGTCTGTGTCTGTGTCTGTGTCTGTGTCTGTGTCTGTGTGTCTGTGTGGTGTGTGGTGTGTGCTTTGTGCTGTGTGTTGTGTGTTGTGTGTGTTGTGTGTTTTGTATGTGTTGTGTGTGTGTGGTGTGTGTGGTGTGTGTGTGTGTGTGGTGTGTGTGTGGTGTGCGGGTGGTGGTGGTGGTGGGTGTGGTTGTGCGTGTTGGCGTTTGTGTTTTAGTTTGTGTTTGCTTGTGTTTGTGTTTTTGTGTTTTTGTGTTTTTGTGTTTGCGTTTGTGTGTAAGCGTGTTTGTATCAGTCACTCTCCTTGCAGGAGTGGTACACCGAGACATCAAGCCACAGAACCTGCTGGTGGACGCGTCCAAAAGCCACGTCCTAAAGCTGTGCGACTTCGGGTCCGCGGCCAGGGTGGGGCCGGGCCAGCCCGCGCTCGTGGCTTACATCTGCTCGCGGTACTACCGCGCGCCCGAGTTGATCTTCGGGGCAACACAGTACACGACGACGGTGGTCGAAGAAGACAATATACCGAACATAAAGATGCAATTTCGGAGCCCCGCGCAGATTTTTTGGATTGGCGCTGGACCCCCCTCCCTGGCCCGCGGAGCGCGCCAGGGGCGGCGTCGGAGGCGCCGCTAGGGGTGTCCAGCGCCGGTCCGGGAAATCCGCGCGGCCTTCCGAAGGTTTCTGTTTATGTCGCTTCATTTTTCTTCGAGGTGGACCTGTGGTCCATCGGGTGCGTCCTCGCGGAGATGATCCGCGGGCGGCCCCTCTTCCCCGGAGAGGGCGGCGTGGACCAGCTCGTGGAGATCGTGAAGGTGCTCGGATCTCCGTCGCAGCGACAGGTGTTGGCGATGAACCCCGCGTACTCCGGCTTCTCCTTCCCCGCGATCAGGCCGTGCAGTTGGAGAGCCGTCTTCCGCAAGGATCGGGGGCGTCCAAGAGGGGCGTGATGATTCTCTGGGGGGGTTGGCTCTCCCTGTTGGGGGCATGGTGCCTCCTCAGGTGCCATGGCCCTTTTGTGATTCCAGCACGTCCCGTGGACCCCGCCGTGCCGCCGCGCACTTCGGTGGCCATGACTTTCGACCCCCCGGTCTTGACCTTGGGACGCCCCCGCGAGGACGTCGGCCCCGACGTCATCGACCTGCTCGCCGCCTTCCTCCAGTACGACCCGGAAGCACGAATTCACCCCCTGCAGGCGTGCGCCCACCAGTGCTTCGACGAGCTCCGGCAGGAGGGCGCGCGCGTGGAGGGGGCCCGGCTGCCCCCGGACCTCTTCACCCTGACCCAGCGCGAGGAGCCAAGCACCGCACAAGCGGCAAGCCCTCGGAGCTCCGCGCGGATTCCTCGGATCGGCGCTGGGACCTCCTCCTCCGCCTCCCCCCCCCCTCCCCTCCCCCTCCCCCTCCCCCTCCTCCTCCTCCTCCTCCTCCTCCTCCTCCTCCTCCTCCTCCTCCTCCTCCTCCTCCTCCTCCTCCTCCTCCTCCTCCTCCTCCTCCTCACCCTCCACGGCGCGCAGGGCGCGCCAGGGGCTGCGCCGGAGGCGCCGCCAGGGGCTACCAGCTTGCAACATCTCCCTATCCTTGCGTGTGGCATCGCCTGACCTCGGTGCCGATCCTGAGGACCCCCTCAGTTTCTGAGAGCACATCCCTGAGATCGGGGGCGCGCCTGGGGGGGAAGCGAGAAGGGGCGGGCCGTCTCAGAAGGCTCGGAATGCCCCCGGCCTTCTGAGAAGTTCCCCAGGCTGTCCCCGAAGACAGAAACTGCTTCTCAGCAGGCGCGAGGGCTTCTGGGAAGTTCCGCCGCCTTCTCAGAAGGCCTTCTCCTTCTCACTCCCCCCCTCGTTCGCCGCCGATCAGATTGTCATCGCCCTTGGCCTGCGGATATCGTGGGCAGGGCCGAGTTGCTGGGCTGGTTAGGTCAGGGGGGGGCTCAGCGCCGTCCCGAGACGTCCACGCGCGGAGGCCCGAAGCCTTCTGCCCAGGCCGGGGCTCGAGCCAAACGGTGTCTTGGCGATGTCTCGGGCCGTGTGTTCGGTTCGAACCGAACACACGAAACCAGAACGAGGGAAAACGAAGACAGCACGAAAACGAAGACACTGTTTACAGTCGGACCGAGGTCTCAGATCGAGGTCTGTTCGGTGAGGATGCCCAGGGGCTCTGCGTGTTTGTCGGATCCTGAGGAGGGTGCCCTTGGGATGTTCGGCTTGCCTTGTCAGACGGAGGGTCTCATGTTCTTGCAGGATGTTCACTGAGATCTGACGCTGCGCAACAAAAATGCAACATCGCCCAACATCGCGACGTGGGCCCTGGACCCAACATGCAACTCCGCCCTCTCCGAGCTGCATCCATCTGCGAGAGCCCGCGGACCCCAGAAGAGACGGCGGAGACGCCCGGCTCGACCAAACACTGCAACGCCAGGATCGCACGAGGAGCCGACGAGCAAAGCGGCCGTCGCGATTTTTGCTCGCGACGCCCAGACTAGGAGGAGGAGGAGGAGGAGAAGGAGGAGGAGGAGGAGGAGGAGGAGGAGGAGGAGGAGGAATTAGAGGAGGAGGAATTAGAGGAGGAGGAGGAGGAGGAGGAGGGAGGAGGAGGAGGAGGAGGAGGAGGAGGAGGAGGAGGAGGGGGAGGAGATTCTTCTGGCCCAGGTCTGCCTCCAGGTCGAGCCCTGGCCCCTGCCGTGGTCGGCATGGCTCCTCGGCCCCGCGGGAGGCGCAGGCGTGCCCCGCCGCGCTGCTGCAGAGGCTGCTGCCGGCCTCCCGGCACTCGGCGGGGGCGGGCCCCGCCGGGGGGCGCAGCCCGTAGGCGCGCCGCGGGAGGTCGCGGGGGCGCGCCGGATGGGCCTGTCTTCCACCACGGCTGCCGTGCGTACCCAGACATGTGGCGCCTCGAAAACATCGAGACGGAGGTTTTTCCTTGTTTTCGGCCTCTCGGGGCCCTCGCCGGGCCTCGGGACCGTCCAAAAACGACTCGGGGTGGAGAACCGGTCCCGGGGAAGTGGTCGGGAGGTCGGGGGCCCGTGTCTCGAAACAATCGAGACGTCGGATGTCTGGGTAGGACGGGGGAGGAGGAGGAGGAGGAGGAGGAGGAGGAGGAGGAGGAGGAGAGGAGGAGGAGGAGGGAGGAGGAGGAGGAGGAGGAGGAGGAGGAGGAGGAGGAGGAGGAGGAGCAGGAGGAGGAGGAGGAGGAGGAGGAGGAGGGAGGAGGAGGGGGAGGAGGGGCGCCCTGAGATCCTGGCGGCTCAGTTTTTTTCGAGCCGAGCGTTCTCGCCCTCTTCCGGGCCCTGGGGCCCTCACGGGTCGATCCTGCTCGAAAGATGGTGCGGGGAGACGGGCCGGGTACGCGGAACGGAGGGGTTCTCTGGAGCCCACCCGACGGAATCTTTTTTCAGCTCTAGTTTGACGCTGGTTCGACTCAAGTTCGAGTGGAGCGAGTGGCTCCAGGAAGGTCCCCAGAATGAGCATCTAAGGGGAGAGTGGAAGGATGGGGCGGTCCTTCTCCTCCTCGAAAAAAAACGGCATAAACATCAACTTTTGATGGTGCCCGCAGATTCTTCGGTTCTGCGCTGGGCCCTCTTGGCACCTGTCGCGCTCCGCGCGCGGGGGAGGTGGATCCAGCGCGGATCCGAGAAATCAGCGCCGAGCTCCGAAAGTCTCTGTTTATGCAGATGTTTGTTGTTCCTTTTCGTTCTTTTATGCCTCGACTCTCCTCCTCCGCCTCCTGCTGCTCCCCCTCCTTCTCCCCCTTCCCCTCCCCCTCCTCCTCCTCCGCCTCCTCCTCCTCCTGCTCCTGCTCCTCCTCCTCCTCCTCCTCCTCCTCCTCCTTCCACTCCTCCCCCTCCTCCTCCTCCTCCTCCTGCTCCTCCTCCTCCTGCTCCTCCTCCTCCTCCTCCTCCTCATCCTCCCCCTCCTCCTCCCTCCCCCTCCCCCTCCTCCTCCTCCCTCCTCCTCCTCCTCCTCCTCCTCCTCCTCCTCCTCCTCCTCCTCCTCCTCCTCCTCCTCCTCCTCCTCCTCCTCCTCCTCCTCCTCCCTCTCCTACCCGTGGTAGTGGTGATGGACGATCGGCCCATCACCCTCGGCGGCCGCGGGGGGGACGCGTGGCGCGCGAGGAGCCTTGGGGGCGGTCGCAGCCGGGTCCTGGCTCTGGCTGGCCGAGACTGCGCCCCCCTCCTCCCTCTTCGGGGGCGGCCTGGAGGGAGTGCTTGGTAGTGGGGGGGGGCATCATGGCCTGGGCCACGACATTTCCCCAGATCTCGTGGCCCCTCTTCCTCGTCTACAGGCGAGACGCTGAGAGGAGCACCGCTTCGGGCTCGGACGGTGCCCGCTGTTCCTCAGGTCACTCCGTGGTTGGACTGTTCCTCTAGACCTCCTCGTGCACCCAGGCTCCCTCGGTGCCCAGAAGGGGCTTCGTGCCTTACAGCCGACCCGCACAGTAAGGATGGGCAACCTTCCCAAGGATACTGTTGCATCCTTGCCCCTTCGGCCCATCCTTGGCCTCTTTCGTTGGCCGCGCCCCGCTCGCAAGGTGTCGACATGGCCTTCCAGGGCCCTGGCATCATTTTATCGCGCATCCTTATGATACGGGTTGGCTTCATTTCGCCTTCCGTATTGCAGCAGCTCGGCCGCACCGCGTCGCTTGGGCCCTCCCAGGGCCGCGCGGCTGGGTGGGTCCCGGACCTGGGCGGCCGAGGCCGTGCCCTCGTTCTCTTCGAGCAGTTGCAAAGCGTCGTGGCTCGCCTGTAGGCCCACCGAAGAATGCTCTGCGAGCCCACTGTGGCTTGCTTGAGATGTTCTTAGGACATGTCTCGTCGAGTCCTCCTCGATTGAGCACGTCGGCGTTGGGCTCTGGTAGCAGCATCGTGTTGTTGGATCATCACAGGCTGTTCCGAGACCATGTCGTAGTGGGCCTGTGGGAATGCTTGGGCGGTCGGTCCCTGCTCAACCCTCGGCTCCGCGCCAGAGTTCAGGGGCGACGTCACGGCGAGATCGGCTCAGGACGGGATGCATCGACCCCTAATCTTATGATGTTCCAGCCTACTTTAGCCTTGACCGCCAAAAATAAGGTCCAGCGCCAGGAAAGTACCAAACCTTGAGGGCTTTCACATGTCGGGCCCTGGGAGGCGATACTCGTTCGACGCTGTTTCGACACGTTTCTGGGTCTTCGAACTTATTTCTGGGAGGTGGTCCTTAAGTACGATGGGAGCAACGTAACCCTAATCACCTACTCATCGCCGAGAGGGGCCCGATGGCCCGCCTCGCCCAGGGGGGTGCGGATTCGTCATCGGGGGCCTATCGCCGATCCATCGGCGATGTGTCGCCGAGTCTGGCTCGATGTGCCACCCTCCCCTGGCCAGCCCCCTCCCCCCCCGACGCTTCCCCTCAAGATTGGCCGTGGGCAAGAGCGACCTTTGCTGCGCGGTCGGCCGGCCGTTGCATGCGCTGCGACGGCAGCGGCCTGCGTGCTTGGCCCTGGCCGCGCACCGAAGGCCACCGCGGCACAGGGCCACCCACGCCTTGCCGCACGCGCAGGGGATTCCCCCGCCGCCCTCTGGGCCAGGGCTCGAGCTAATCGGCGTCTGGGCAGTGTCGTGGACCATGCTCGGTGTGACTTCGTCTCGCGGCAAAGGCAGAGCGAAGACACAACGAGGGAAAGCCCGAGGCAACATGGAGACACAAAACAGGAAGAACACTGCTTGGCTCGAGCTCTGGGTCACTCTTGCTGCGCGCGCAGCGGACTTCCCCGTTCCGCCCCGCGAGCCTCCCTCCTCGGCGGCTGGCCCTCCCGGGGTCCCGTCCTCGAGCTGGCGGGGGGGCCCGAGACGGTTCTCTCCCGTTCGGCTGCAGCGCTCTCGGCTGGCCGGGGGCCCGTGGATGTCTGTTGGCGACGAGCGAGGGGGGGAAGCGAGAAGGAAAGGGCTTCCTTAGAATCAGGCGATCGCAAAGATGGATCAAGAGGGCGTGGATTAGCGACGGGTCACATTTCCATGGGGCATCGCGGATTTCCGCCGCCGAGCAAGACGGCACCGGCCGCATTTTGGGGAGGCCACCTCCCCCGATCCATGGTTTTGGCGACCGCGCGCCAAATCCATTGATCGCTAATCCATGTTTGCGCGCCCCCGATGGAAGGCGGCGGGGCTTCTCAGAAGGCCTCCGGCCTCCTGGAGGGTTTTTTTAAAGCATGTTTCGGAAGTCCAGTGGACTTCCGAGCCTTCTGAGAAGGCCCACCTCTTCTCACTTCCCCCCCGGGCTCGCCACCGAGTCTTGGTCAAGTTGCAGCCAGACGAGCGCTCTGCACAAGAACTTATGCCCTCGAGTTGCGAATTCTTAATGCCCCGCGCCACCAGCCCGTCCAGAAGCGATATCCAGGCGAGGTGTGCCCTGATCACGGAACTGCTCTACCAACTGACCCAGGAGTCAACCATAAATGTTTTCGTGGATATTTCGATACAGAAGCTTCTTGGCCGCTTGCCTTGCGCTCCCCTTGGGCCATTTCGGAGGCCCTCGGCGCTATCTTGGGCCCTTGTTGGGCCCGGGCTTGGGGGCCATCCGGGACGCCCTCCATCAAAAGAGGAGACTCCTGTGGGCCCTCCTGCGGCGCTCTCGGGGCCTGCCCGCTGGCAGCCGGCGACAGTCACCGCATGGCCAGCGATGTCGCCAGGACGCTCGCCCCTCCCTCCTCCTCCGTCCTCGCTCCTCCTCCTCCTCCTCCTTCTCCTCCTCCTCCTCCTCCTCCTCCTCCTCCTCCTCCTCCCTCCTCCTCCTCTTCCTCCCTCCTCCCTCCTCCCTCCTCCCTCCTCCTCCTCCTCCTCCTCCTCCTCTCTCCTCCTCCTCCTCCTCCTCCTCCTCCTCCTCCTCCTGTCTTCTCCTCCTCCTCCTCCTCCCCTCCTCCTCCTCCTCCTCCTCCTCCTCCTCCTCCCCCTCCTCCCTCTCCTCCTCCTCCCTCCTCCTCCTCCTCCCTCTCCTCCTTCTCCTCCTCCTCCTTCCCAACCTCCTCCTCCTCCCCCTCCTCCTCCTCCCTCCTCCTCCTCCTCCCTTCTCCTCCTCCCTCTCCTCCTCCTCGTCCTCCTCCTCCTCGCCTCCTCCTTCTCCTCGTCCTCCTCCTTCTCCTTCTCGCCCTTCTCCTCCTCCTCCTCCTCCTCTTCCTCCTTCTCCCTCCTCCCTCCTCCCTCCTCCTGCTCCCTCCTCCTCCTCCCCCATCCTCCTCGTCCTCTTCCTCCTCCTGCTCCTCCTTTTCCTCCTCCTCCTTCTCTTCCCCCTTCTCCTCCTCCCCCTCCCTCTCCCTGCCCTCCCCTGCTTGGATCGCCTACGGCCCCAGGGGAAACCGTCCAGCCCTCGGCGTCGGTCGGTCAGTCGGTCGGTCGGTCGGTCGTCGTCGTCGTTGTGATGGTCGTCGTCGTCGTTGTCTTTGTCGTCATCTCCCGTCGTCGTCGGTCCTCGCCGTCGGCGTCGTCGTCGTCCTCCTCCCCCTCCTCCTCGTCCTCGTCGTCCTGTGCCGTGGCCGCAGCGACGAGTGTGGCGGGCTGGCGCCAACAGCAGTCAGTGCTCCTCTGGGGTCAGGGCCCAGAGCCCCGACGTCGTGATTTTTGTCGCAATTTCGACCGTCAGAGGTCTCAACACATTCAGCGGGACCGGCGTTTCGTCCCGAGTCGTTTTTTGACGGTCCCGACGCTCGGTGAGGGGCCCCAGAGGCCGAAAATAGCGAAAAGCTTGTCGGTCGTGATTTTTTCGCAGCGCGAGGGGGTCTGGGGATGGGCGTGAAAAGAGCCCTGGCGGCCAGAGACCATGAGGAGTGGTCCAGTCCAGGCGCCAAAGCAAGAGCCTTACTGCGGGCTCCCGACGGTCCCCGGCTTCCAGGAGGCCCCTCCGGAGGTCCAGGTCGGGGAGACGACGACTCGTGGGCCGAGACTCGCCGTGGCCAGAAGGCCCACTCGTTTCTCCCTCAGCATTCCTACTGTAAGCTTTTTTGTCGTCCCTTTGTTTTTCGTTCCTCACTCACGCACTTCGTCCCTTCGTTCCCTAGATTTTTTGGCTGTTTGAGGCCCCTTCGTTGCTCACTCAGCGCTTCGTTCCTTCGTTGATTGGTGGACGGTTGGCGCGGCGCGGGCGCCGCTAGTTGCCGCCAACAGGTTGCTGCCATTTGCCGCTATATGCGGTTAACCCGGCAACATCTCGACTAAGATCGGTCTTCATGCTTCCATGACAACGATTAAGTCGGGCCTGTCCCCCTACAGGGGGATTTTCGACGAAAAATATAAAATACCCTGAAAATAGTCAAAACATAGTCCAAACATAGTCTGGGACTATTTAAAACAAAAAATTGACCTTTGTGGAGTATTTTTGTGTGGGTATTTTTTTCCGTCGAAAATCCTTCTGTAGGGGGACACGCCCTGCTTACGACAACGAGCGCAACCCTAATGGTAGCACGATGGTGGTAGGCGGCGACGGCGGAGTTCGCCCTGCACAGGCCGGCGAGACCTACCCGAGCGCCCGCCCTGCGGCGGAGGACGCGCATGCGGCGAAGGCGTGGCCGCTCGCCTCTCGCTCGACGCGCGCGCAGCGAGCCCGAGCCCGGGCACCGCGTGCGTATCCAACCCTCGTTGAGCAACGATTCGTGCAGCGCGATGCGGCGGGGGCAGGGTTCGGAGGTCGTCGAACACACGGCGTCATCCGGAGCCTACCCCCGCCTCCCATCGATTCAGCAAATCGGTTGCCGTTATTGGGGTTCGGATGTCGCCACCTATGAGCCTGAGCCCGCGCTCGAGCTCCAGCCCGAGCCGGAGCCCGAGCGCAAATCCATCTGGGCACGGGCCTGAGCGCGAGCTTGCGGCCATGCTGGCCCTCAGTCCTTCTCGTGACCAGGTGATGGGGCCCTCCTCCCCTGAGATCTGGGCGTTGCAATTGTTGGCGGACATGTGGTTTTCGCCCAGCTTCGGGCCCGGGGAACATGACAGATCGATGGGGTTTGAAAGATGTTGCCGAAAGATGTGGCCTAGGGCACTGGCGCTGGATCTCAGAGTCCCCTCAGGCTGGGGGTGCGGGAGAGTAGTCGTGGCGGCACATGTTTGTTTGCATCTGCGGCCTCCCGAGGCCGCTTATTGAGACCCATGGATTGAACATCATTTTCAGGATGTTATCTAGGGAGTATAAGCACAGCGGAGCAAGACATCATGACCATGATGCGTGCCACGGTTTCCAGGTGCTCTCTTGTCCCGCGCAGTCAGACGAGTGGCCAAGGGCCGCCAGAAACTCGGGACAACCCAGAGCGCATCCTGGGCAATTCGACTGATGACATTGTTCTCGTTTTCTCGTTTTACCAGCTGCGTAAGCACAAGTGCTCGGCGGTCCGCGCGGATCTCTTGGATCGGCGCCAGGCCCTCCGGCGCCGCCCCTGGCGCTGCTCCGCGCGCCAGGGAGGCAGGAAATCCGCGTGGACCTCCGAAAGCTTGGTGTCGCTCGGACGTGTGCACTTTTTCTCGGCGGGGATTATTAAGGAGCATCCTGGCTCACCCTGCGAAAACAGCAGGCACGAAACCGAAACAAGCACAGGGAATGGACGTCCGAGCGATGGCCAGAAAGTGCACCTGTGCAGTTTTGTGCTGTTCCAGTAGGAAGGCCCTCCCTGGGGAAAGTGCAGAAGCCCGCGGACCCACGTCATGAAACAATTGCAGCGTAGGAGTATGAGGAGGAGGAGGAGGAGGAGGAGGAGGAGGAGGAGGAGGAGGAGGAGGAGGACCAGTGTAAACCCAAGTGTCATCAACGGTGCTGGAATGAACCCTCCCTCCAAGCTCCATCTTCACAGGCACCCACAGCGGTTCATTTCCAGTGAGGGAGCTGCCTCGTTGGAAGACGACTGCTTGAAGACCCTGAAGCATGCCAGAACATTGTTCTCTGGATTCCAACGCCATGGATCAACCAGACTGTTGCGTCTTGGCGATCCTGAATCGTGCCAGCACGCCGTTCCTGGGACTCCAACACCGCGAATCAAAGTAACTCTTGCACCCGCGTAATCCTGAATCTCTCCAAAGCCGCATTTCTGGTACGCTGATCTTGGGAATCCGTGAAACTCTGGCAAATTTTACAAACGAATGTGCGCGGCGCTGAGGCGAGAGTCACAGTTTGAAACGGAACCACCCTCAATCCGTGAAGCTTTTGCTGATTCTTCAACCGAATGTGCGCGGCGTTAGTGCGAGAGCCACATTTTGAAAACCTCGTCCTCAATCCGTGAAACTCTTGCCAATTTCTAAAGCCAATGTGCGCGGCGCTAAGGCGAGAGCCAATTTTGAAAGTGACCCGCCCTCCATCTGTGAAATGGTTGCCAAGTTTGAAGTTTCAGAGTCGTACATGGTCAGGAAGTCTCAGGCGAAACCCCGGGCCCGCCCTAAATACTTGCCTAGAGGTGCGACAGGGAGAAAGTATCTATAAGGAAAAGGAAAGGAATGGAGGAGGAGGAGGAGGAGGAGGAGGAGGGTGAGGAGGAGGAAGAGGAGGAGGGAGCAGAGAGGAATTGAGAGGAGGAGAGAGGAGGATGAGGAGGAGGTTGAGGAGGAGAGGAGAGTCGAGTGGACGAGTATCAATGCTCGAGCATCGGGGTCTGATGCATTGAGATCTCTGGACGTCTTTTGTTCTCTCTTGGGGGGCCTCCCGAGGCCCCTGGGCATCCCCGCGGGCGGTCTGGCTGTGCCAGCGGGCCTTCCTCTTCTGTGGGAGAAGGATCGACATCCGAGGTTCGAGGATCTAGAGCTCTCTGTGGGATGCCCCCCTCCCTCCCTTCCTCCTCCTCCTGCCTCCTTTCTCCTTCCTCCTCCTCCCCTCCTTCTCCTCCTGCTCCTCCCCCTGCTCCTCCTCCTCCTCCTTCTCCTCCTCCTCCTCTTGATGTTCGAGGCTCTAGGCCTCACAAACGGGGTCCGTTCAGATGGGCTCGGAGGATCGCGACGCATCGTCGATGCATCGACGGTGCGGCTCAACGTGGAGCCAGAATCTTCCCACTCCGATGGCGCCGATGCATCGCCAGCGCCGCCGATGCATCGCCAATGTACAGTCGGCCTGGATTAGTAGGTCGACCCTGCCAAGTCAAGGGTGGCCTCGTGTCCTGCCTTTGAAGAGGCGTGCCTTTCACACTCCTACGGCAAGGTATCCCTTGGAAGGGTCTCGTGTTCTCGCGTGTCCTCTCCAATCAGGTCCGACTGTATCGCCGGAGGTGGGGGGTGGTGGGTGAGAGGTCCGTGTTGCGCCGACCCGACGACGACCGCACCGCGAGCGCTCCAGGTTGAACGCCACCAGCGGCACATCGTCCGCTCGGAGCGAGCTGCGCGTGCGGAGGGCCGCGGTCGTTCAAGTCGAGACCAGCGCCGAGGTCGTCGTCGGCGTCACCGTCGCCGTCGTCGCCGACGCCGTCGACGCCGTCGTCGTCGTTGTCGTCGCCGTCGCCGTCGTCGTCGCCGTCGTCGCCGTCGCCGTCGTCGTCGTCGTCGTCGTCGTTGTCGTCGCCGTCGCCGTCGCCGTCGCCGTCGCCGTCGTTCCGAGGCGGAAGCAGCAGCATGATGGACGCACTTGCCTCTCATTGCTTTGCACGGCTGCTGCTTCTCTGTGTGGCAGTTCGCTCGCTACCCGCGCTCTGCCATGCCCTGCGCAGTGCGTCCCGCGCGGCCTAGAGTCGGCCCTGATTAGTAGATCGGCCCTGCCAATTCAAGGGTGCCCTTGGGTACCCTTGTGTCCTGTGCCTCGCGATCCATGCCTCCTACATCCCCCATGGCAATGTGGCCCTCGGAAGGGTCTGGTGTCCTCTCGCGTGTCCTGTGCAATCAAGGCCGACTGTACGCTGTGTATGGGCACATGTATGTACTCCCCACTCAGAGCTTGCCTCTGTGTAGGGGTCCTAGCGGATTCATATGTTTAGGTAAGGTTAGCCATCGATTTCCGCGGCCCGCCGTGGTGCCCGGGTGACCAGGTGCCCGGGTGCCCGGGTGCCTTATAGCCCTATAGCCCTATAACCCTTTATCCCTATAGCCCTATAGCCATATAGCCCTATAGCTTTATAGCCCTATAGCCTCATAGCCCCGTAGCCCTATAACCCTATAGCCCTATAGCCCTATAGCCTTATAGCCCTATTGCCCTAACGCCCTAGAACCCTATAGCCCTAAGCCCTACAGTCCTTTAGCCCTATGGCCCTATAGCACTCTAGCCCTATAGCCCTATAGACCTATAGCCCTATGGCCCTATAGCCCTATAGTGCAATAGCCCTATAGCTCCATAGCCCCATCGCCCTGTAGCCCAATAACCCTATAGCCCTAAAAAGATGTTGGTTGGGGCTTTTCTCGGGAATCATGTGTGCGTATGTACACATTGTATAGCCTGTTCGTGGACCCAGTTACAAGTTATTGGTCGAGGCGTTGCCGATGGTTCGTGGCACCATGCTTGTATAATCTGTTTCACGGAGAGCAGGTCCACTCAGTTCCATGCAGACGGGCGCTTCCCGCATTTGTACGCTTTCAAAGATACCTCATCGGACCACGTTGTCCGTCACTGCTTCGCTTTCGAAGATTATCTGCGAGGTCTACGGAGGCCCCCGGAGGCACACAGAGTGCCAACAACGTCCACAACCCTCGTTCGTGGATCCTCCTGCTCCCCTTGCTCCTCTTCCTCCTCCTCGTCCTCCTCCTCCTCCCTCCTCCCTCTCCCCTCCTCCCTCTCCATTTGTTTTCCTCCTCTCCTTTCATTCGTCCCCCTGTTCTAGACGCCTCGCGTAATCTCACCAACCCATCCAGAAACGATGCTCAGGCGAGTTGCCTTCATCAGGGATGTGGAGGAGCATGCACTGGAGTTAAGGACTGGGGAAGCCGCCGTACACCAAGAGGAAGAGGATGGAGGAGGAATCGGAGGAGGGGGAGGGGGAGGGGGACGGGGAGGAATGAGGAGGGAGGAGGAGGAACAGGCGGGTGAGGAAGAGGTCGTGGAGGCGGAGGAGGAGGAGGAGGAGGAGGGCGAGCAGAAAGGGCAGATGCATCTTAGACGTCACTCGGAGCCTCTTCGGATGTCTCTTGAGAGTTTTTGGGGAACATATTTGGGCGTCTCAGGGGGCTCTTGGCGATCCCAGGGTTCTCGTGGAGCGTCTTGGGTGCCTCGGGAGAGCCTCTTGGGGCCTCTCGGGGGTCTCTTGGGAGCCTCTTAGGGGCCTCTTGGGGCCCCTTGAGGCCTCCTGGGCGCCTCTTGGGGGCCTCTTGCGGCCGTCTTGGGGCCATCTTGAGGCACCCTGGGGAGCTTTGGGGGCCATCTGGGGACCATCTTGGCGGCGATCGATCACAGATGGAGGGAGGGCACTACATTGGGCACCCCACACATCCCAGGACGCCAACTTGTTACTAATACCATCGTAAAATGATGCTGGTCGACCATGTGGCCATGCTCTGCTGTGCTTTCGGCGACCCTCCTCGGAGTCTAGGGAGGCCCCTGGAGGCACGTAGAGTGCCACCAACGTCCATACACCTCGCTCGTGAATCCTCCTCTCCTGCTCCCCTTGCTCCTCCTCCCTCCTCCTCCTCCTCCTCCTCCTCCTCCTCCTCCTCCTCCTCCTCCTCCCCCTCCTCTTCCTCCTCCTCCTCCTCCTGCTCCTTCCTCCTTCTTTCTTCCTCTTGCTTCCTCCACATATGTTCTCCTCCTCCTCCATGCATGGTACGCACTCATACATGATCCCTCCCTGTCGCACCCCGTGGCCAGTCAGAAGGGCGGGTCAAGCGTTTTTGCTTGAGACCACCTTCCCATTGATAATTCGAAGCTTACGTATTGGCAACAGTTGCGCAGATGGAGAGCGGGTGGTGTTCAACATGTGGCTCTTGCCTTACCGCCAGGCACAATTGAGGGCGGGTCGTTTTCCAAATATAGCTCTCGCCTTGGCGCCGCGCACATTCGTTTCAAACATGTGCATGAGTTTCACGGGTTCTTGTGTTTAGCATACCAGGATGTTTTTTGGGAACGGTTCAGGATTGTCAGGTCCCAGCAATTACGTTGAATCGCGGTGTTAAAGTCCCAGGAAGGGCGTTTTGGTACGATTCAAGACGCAACTGTCAAGTTGATTCGTGGCGTTGCAGCTTGCGAATGTTGTTCTGGTACGCTTCATGATTTCCATTCGGTTGTCTCCCAACGGGGCATTTCCTCAGTGGAAAAATTCGTGTAGGATCCTATGAAGAGGAAGCTTGGAGAGAGGGACGATTTCAACATCGTTGATGAGTGTGTGGTTTGCCCTGGTCCTCCTCCTCGTCCTCCTCCTCTCCTTCATCTCCTCCTTCCTGTCTCCTCCTCCTCCTCCTCCTGAACCAGGTTCGTTTCGCAAAGCGAACACCAGGCCCTCGAATGACAGAGAGCTGACAGCTGCCGAGGCTTCCGACTCCGACTCCGACTCCTCTTCTTCCTCTCATCCTTCGTCCCCGTCGTCGTCCTCCACCTCGTCCCCGCGGGATGCGAGCTGTGGCGCCAGCGAATCCGGTTTGCGCCTCTCCCCGCTCTCCTCTCCCCTCCAAGATCCCGCCACCAGGCGGAGCACACGCGGCTGACGCCCCACCTCTTGCTGCTGGGCGACCCGGGCACGGGCAAGTCGCAGCTGCTCCAGGTGGCCCAGGAGCGCTTCGCTCGCCGCACCGCCTGCCGCCCGCCCCTGCTCTCCTGCTGCCGCTTCCTCCTGGTCCTCCTCCTCCTCCTGCTCTTCCTGCTCTCCCTGCTCTTCCTCCCTACCCCTGCCCCCCCGCACCCCCCCGCCTCGTCCTCTCCTCCTCCTCCTCCTCCTCCTCATCCTCCTTCTCATCATCGCCCTCCTCACCGTCCTCAGTCTCGCCCTCCTCCTCATCCTTTCCTCATCCTCCTCTTCGTTCTCCTCCTTCCTCCCCTCCCCCTCCCCCTCCCCCTCCCCCTCCTCCTCCTCCTCCTCTCCTCCTCCTCCTCCTCCTCCTCCTCCTTCTCCTCCTCTCCTCCTCCTCCTCCTCCTCCTCCTCCTCCTCTCCTCCTCCTCCCCTCCTCCTCCTCCTCCGCCTCCTCCTCCTCCTCCTCCTCCTCCTCCTCCTCCTCCTCCTCCTCATCCTCCTCCTCCTCCTCCCCCTCTTCTTCTGAGGGGTGTTGCTTACGAACCTCCCGTGTGCGGTATGACCCTGTTCCTGGATCAATGTGTAGCTGCAGTGGCAGACAGCTTCTTGTTTGCGGAACTGGTCTCTCTCTCTCTCTCTCCCTCTCTCTTTCGCTCTCCCTGTCTCTCGGGTGACAGGACCACGGGGCTCTTGTCTTTCAGGCGGGAGTTCTCTCGGCGGCGAGCGAGGGGGGGGGGGGGGAAGTCTGAAGGCGAAGGCCTTCTCGGAAGGCGGCGGGGCCTCTCAGAAGCCCTCCGGCCCTCCGGGAGCTTCTCTGTGCCTTCGGGGAGGGCTTGGAACACTTCCCAGCAGGCTGGGGAACTTCCCCCCCTCCGGCTCGCAGCCGACTCGGCAGCAGGGAGGAGCCCCCGCGTGGATGGACGCATGGGAGGGGGGGAGGCTTGGGACAGGAAGGTGCCTGGCAGCGTCGTTGCTGTGCACCGGGCCTCCTTCTTCCCCTCCCTCCGAGGAGCAGGGGGAGGGTGAACCGAAAGGCAGGAGCGCGAAGCGTCAAGGAGGGGAGGGCAGAGCGAAGGGAGCGAGGGGCGACACGACAGGCAGGAGGGCAACACGACGGGTATGAGGGTCCAACGCTAGAGGTGTGCGGGCAGAGCGAAAAGGCAGCACGGTTATTTCAGATGCGAGGGTGAAACGAAAGGAAGGATGACACAAGCGAAGGTACGAGGGTGAAGCGAACGGTCGGGGGGGCGAGCACAACCAGGAGGCAGGTCAAAGGAAAGGGTAGGAGGGCCATGCGAAAGGGAGAGACCTCCCTGTGCGCGCGGGAGCGCGCGCGTGCTCGAGCACGGGCAAAGGAAGGGAGGAGGGGGGAGGAGGAGGAGGAGGAGGAGGAGGAGGAGGAGGAGGAGGAGGAGGAGGAGGAGGAGGAGGAGGAGGAGGAGGACGGAAAAGGAGATACTACGGTGCTTCGCTCTCCCTTCCTCTCCCCGCCTCCTGGCATCTACGCGCGGGGGCGTCCGTGGGTACCGAGGCTTCGTTCGGCGTAGGCCTGGCAGGCGGGCATCCGCACGGTGCGGCGGCGGGGCAGGGATCGCCGCGCGCGGCGCTGCGCAGCGCAGAGTGAGGAGGGAGGGAAGGGGGACGGGGAGAGGTGGGAAGGTGAGGCAGAAGGGAGGGGGGCAGGGGAGGAGATGAAGATCCCTCCTCCTCCCCCTTCCTCCCTCGCCTGGGCTGTGCCACTCAGTAGTTGCGCACCCCCCCGGCTGTCGAGGTCGTGCACCTTGCTTCCGAGGAGAGCCGAACCGAACCACCCCCCTCGCTTCCTCCCCCGACCCAAAGTCTGCTCAAATCAAGCCCCTGGGTCCTGGAGAGACCCCTCCCGAGCCCCATCCCTTCCAGGTGTTCCGCTTCTGATCGACACCCCTCTCGGCGCGGAGTCCCGAAGCGGAGCCGTGGAGGCCGAAATTGATGAGAAGCTTGCGCCGCAAGGTGTTCGAGCGGGAGATCCGTATCATCACTAACACAGTGGAAGCCCATGCCAAGAAACGCCCTGCTTGCCTCCAGGGAGCCCTGAGATTCTTGGAATGCCATAGTTTGACAATGGAAAGCGCGACGTTCCCGCACCGAAATCAATGGACGTCTTGGGTCTCAGTTGTTTTGTGGTCGAGCTCCTAATCGTATGGCTTTTGAACGGATTTTGGGGTGCAGGTTGTGTTCCTTGTGAGATGCCTGGTCGCGTTTTATTGTTAAGTGGTGTATTGCGCGGGAGAAGCAAGGCCACGCGCGTGCCGGACTCTGTGTCATAATCTGGGAGGGATTGCGGGCGATGCCGGATTCGTCCGTTCCTTCAGGTGTTCGTGATGCTCTCGTTCGTTCGTTCTCTTCAATGCTTCCGCATGCGATTATTGCAGATCAGCGATGTGTTGTTTAGGCAGCACCGAATTTCGGCATCTCCTCCCCCCGGTTCCTTGCGCATTCCTCGCTGTTCCCCCATTGGGTGGGAAATCGAACGCACACAATTCCATTCGGAAGAGGGCGATACGCACAAAGCAACGTCCCCGTCGAAATCAGTCAGCTTGCTTATTTGCGCCAGCACCTCAAGCATGCCCTGCGCAGAGCGCATGTATCTCATCGGTATGATCTTGGAGCGCTGCCTCGAAGATGGGGCGGATCACCCGTGCTCCAGGTTGCGCGCAGACGTCGGGTATTTTTTTATGGTGACTTGTGGTGCGAACCAGCAGCGCGTAGGTGCAGTCCATTTGAATGCGCAGTGTCTCCTCCTGCCGGTGCCGTTCCCGATCAAGTGCTAGAGGATTCCTTTTTTGCTACAGGCTTCGCCGCGGTGGCTGCGGCCTTGTCTTGCGGCGCCATCACCGGCCTCCAAACGAGGCCGCGTCTGGCGAAGGAGCAGGCAAGACTCTCGAGTAGAAAGACGAGGAGGAGGGTATTTTCTCATCGTCGCAAACCCAACATACCCCGGATCCGCAGGCAAGATGCGTCGACGAAAAGGTTGGCTGCCTCAGCACGCGATACGGCGCGCTAAGCGGCGCACTAAACGGCTTGGTAGATGACGCGCTAAACGGCGTGCTAAACGTCGCGCTAGATGGCGCGCTAAACGGCGCGCTGAATAGGGCGCTGAGCGGCGGCCGCTCATGTCTGCGATGAAACCCAACCATGAACGCGCCGTGCCATTCGGCGGGCGCCTGGAAACCGCGCCGCGCTAAGTTGCGGGCTGCATGCGCTGCTAAGTTTACAATGTGAACCATTGGTAAATTTATCGGCGCATTCAGCCTGCAATTAACTTCGATTGGGAACGTGGCCTCCCACGTCGGCCTCGCGGAGGGCTGTCGAAAACTCTGGCGGGAGATTGTCCAAGGCCCACTCAAGCAAAGGGGGAGCTCGGCGCCGGCAGCGGCAGGATTGGGTTAGGCACGCCGCAGGCCACGCAACCGAAACAAGGGCCCCGCGCAAGCTCGCGGCCCACGGCCGCGCAAAAGGGCGCGCGAAATGGCGCGCTAAACGGCGCGTTATCTGGTGCGCCAAACGGCGCGCTAAACGGCGCGCCGACAGACGCACTAAACGGCGCGCGTAATGGCGCGCAACATGTAACATGGCGCGCTAAAGGGCGCGTTAAACAACTTGCTGGACAAAGCGTTGCGCAGCGCATGACAGGCGCACCTGTAAGGGCGTCGACTCGTGACCGCCCGAGCTATCCGTAGGCGCGCTCAAGGACGCACTCGCCCCCCCCCCCCCCCCTCCAGGAGCGACCCATGCATATCCCAAGCAGGCAACGAGTATTCAGTGTCCCTCCATAATTCTGGGGGTGCCTGTAGTCCGGGGAGGGTACCTGTAGTCCGCGGTGGGGGTGCCCGTAGTGTGGGGGGGGGGGGTAACAGTGGTCTGGGGTAGGGTGTTTGTAGTCTGGGGGAAGGGTACCTGTAGTCCGTGGGGTGTACCTGCAGTCTGGGGGGAACGTGTGTTCACGCTCCAACGCACGCGTGGACATAGTCTTGGGGGTGTACTTGTTGTCCGGGAGGGGGCACCATTAGTCCATGGGGGGGAGGCCAACTGTAGTCTGGGGGTGGGGTACCTGTAGTTCGGGGAGTCGGTACTTAAGTAGTACTTATAGTCTGGGGGGTAGCTGTAGTCCAGGGGCACCGAACTATTAGGATTACAGAGTAACAGAGTAGGCCCTGGCAGCACCAAACAGGCCCTTGACAACGTGTTCCGGGGCTCCCGGCGAGCCCGCGAAAACCGCGAGGCGGGTCCTCTCGCCGACGGGCGAAAACGCGCTTCCGCCCACAATTTGCCTGCCCCCAAACGGCCCTTTTATGCGTGCGCGGCAAAAGTTCAGCACGTCTAAGGGATTGAGAGACCTCTGCGTCGCACTGTCTGCTTGGTGCGTCGCATCTCGCGGCGGGTGCGCTTGCGGGGCAGAGGGGGAGAAGGAGGGGCAGGATTGAGACGAGAATGGGGAAGGAAGGGGCGCAGAGGAGGAGCGGGGTGGGAATGGGAGACGGGGAGGGGGAGAAAATGCGTTATGCTTTTTCCTAACCGTCCTGTGGAATTGGGTCCTCGTTTTGAAGAGACAGCGCAGCGCGTTCTCCCCCTTCCGCCTCCTTCCTCCCTCCTCCCGTCACCCCTCTCATTTTGGCACACCCCTCACATTTTTCGTCGCCTCACAGGGAACTCCACCGAAGGCCACAGTGCCACCGCCCGCATGCGTCACGCACACCCATTTCTGCACACCCCTCATACGTTTCGTGGCCCCACAGGGAGCTCCACCGAAGGCCCCAGTGCAACTGCCCGCATGCGTCACGCACACCAATTTCGGCACACCATTCACACGTTTCGTGGCCCCACAGGAAGCTCCACCGAAGGCCCCAGTGCCACTGCCCGCTTGCGTCGCGCACGCCCATTTCGGCACACCACTCATTCGCTTCGTGGCCCCATAGGGAGCTCCAACGAAGGCCCCAATGCCACCGCCCGCATGCGTCACGCATACCGATTTCGGCAAGCTCACACGTTTCGTGGCCCCACA